TAAAATAAAAGTTTTTTTTAAATAGGTTTTTGTCTCTCTCTCTCTCTCTCTCTCTCTCTCTCTCTCGCTCTCTTTCATTCTTTAGTAATTACAAATATTTAAAAACGTGTGCATTCATGTGCATCTTTAGTGCATTTGGTATGAAAAGAAAGATATCATTAGTTGATGGTTTGATTGACTAAGTAACAAATGAGGCAGCAACTGAATGTATCACAGTCCATGTAATTATTACTCCTACTGCTGTCAAACTGAAATTACATCAGTAAGAAATACTGTTTACCTGTCGTGTCATCCATGCAGTGTGGGTGTGACTTCACTTCCACGAGAGACTCTTACCACATCAGGACCTACGTAAACTATATCTATCTATCTATCTATCTATCTATCTATCTATCTATCTATCTATCTATCTATCTATCTATCTGTCTATCTGTCTATCTATCTTCTCCAGGAAATAACCCTTGGCTTCTCAGTCGCCCTCTCCTGGATAAAACTGTGAATAGCCATGTGTTAGAAACTGCTAAGGATTCCTACATTTTAGCAGAAAATAACACTCCAGGGGGAGCTCTTGAGCAGCTGACTTTATTCACAAACATCTTTCAAGTGTAACTTCTAATGATACACTCTCTCTTTCTCTCACACACACACACTCCTGTGCACTTGCACACACAAACTGGCTGGAAGACTGTTTTTATGCAGGCTTGTAATACCTTCTTGCAAAAAAGACAATTGATTTCACAGGTTATTTCATTTGGATGTATTTTTCCCTTTACCGATGACTGACTTCCTTTCTGTCACACTTTAGACTGTTGTACCGTCACATTGGATTTGAAAGCAACACCCTTTCCTCCATACATCCACGCTACCTGAAAGACCACAGCTTCCTGAATCCAACCATACCAGTTATGTACAGATCGGACCTCCGCCTCGGCAGACACGGCCAGATAAGCTTTGGCCAATCAGATCGCATATGCTAATGAGGGTGAAACTCGTTTTTATCTATATACCTAACCCTAACCCCTAACCCTAACGTGGAACCAAAGTCTGGACTTTTTTATAACAGTTCCTGGTTAGGAAGAGTCTATAGTTTGAGAACTGTGGCATGTTTTCATTACAAGAGGTTGGATTATTAATTTGTTATCAGTCAACATAAGCTACGGAGAGTGTTTGGACATTGATTTACTAGAGATAAGACTTTCGCACATATCAACTTTCACATGACAAAATCCTACAGTCTTACATTGCTTTGATTGCTTTCTTTTGTTTGTTTGTTTTTTACTTTTGTGTATTTACATTTTTGTCTATATGTAGCTGTATTAACATGAACTGAATGTTTTCTATTTTGTATTTAATAAATTGATTTGAAATCCATTTGACTACTGTACATTTTTGACAATACAGACATTAGTTATGTGGTGACTGCATCCATTTCAGATGTAAAATAACTGTTTTTCCCAAAGACTTAATTTATAGTAGCTGGAAAGTATTTAAAGTGAAACAGATGTATTGTTGTAAAATAATAGTGCGGGCCCTGTGTGGGCATAGTGAGGGCTTCCTGGGGGCTAAGTGGGGGCTGCCCGTGCAGGGCCAGCACTAAGGAGGCAATGTTTTGCCACTGAGCAAATTCTCAGGGGCCCTGCGCTGGCAACCCGCTGGGGGCCTAAGGCTAGACCTAAGTAAGCCCATAAAGGGTCAGTGCAGGCTTGTTTGCCGGGTAACTTGACAGAGCTCAAACTGAAAACGTGGTAGCAACAAACAGGAAGCTGCTACAAGTATATGTAATGTTAAGACAATTTAGCAACAAACACATTTTCTGTAGCCTTTTTAACGTGCCAATAAATGTACACTGGTTTATCTAAGGTCTGCGTGGTGTATTTCACAAATAAATGCACACAGCAGATGGCAGTGCTACTTAAAAACAACAGCACATTCACAAATTTCTCTTTATTTTTACTGAGTAAATTTACTGTTGTGTTTAAAGGACTTATAATAGTGTTTTTAAAACAAAAACACATAAGTATTCAGTGTTTATTTAAATCATTCATAAAAATGTGTTGAAAGTACACAACAGCAATTTAATGTTACTCTGATAACGGACAGCAGATGGTGCACTGTGCGTTTAACTTCACATTTGTCTTAGCTGAAGCTATTAGATGGCAGTCAAGCTCCAGTATAATCGAGGTGCACAACCAGCCAATGCTGCTTTGCCATCGCTCTGAGCGGCAGCCACTGGGTGCGAGATCCTGCCAAATCTCTACAGAAGCATTGAACAGAAAGAATGGATGACTCTGAGACAGGCAGGATCATGTTTGTTATGACCTATCTCAGAAGCCAGACAGGCTTTGTACCACACAGTAATGGCATATTATTACCCAAATCACATTCATATGAAGGTCAGCCAGGAGCATGTATGAGCTCCTGTGATTGTGGATCTGTAGGTAATTTCACATTTGTTAGCAATGAGTAACCAGTCCAGATTCACCTGTAGCCATTTCTTAGTCGTACTTGTACAAAAGCAATACTGCAGAAACACTTGGATAGAAATAAATCTGTATGTTAAAATAAATCTGTTATATGGCAATAATTAGCCATTTTATTCTGAAATTTAACAGAAGTATCATTATTCATTATTCAGCTGGTCATTATGGATGGTTCTCTAGGAGGAGAACCGTCTGAGCTCACTGAGCTTTCTGAACATGAAGAAACAGAATGTCCCAATTCAGCATTGATAAAGACCCACTAGGAAAACCATGTGCTAGTGACAGCAGAAAAAAAGTCATTTTGTCAACATAAATCATTAATGTCCTGAAGTGCAGGGTGCTTATAATATTACCAAAGAGAGCTGAGGTAGAAAAAAAGAAGTTGATCACACTGATAGCTATAGTTCCTCAAACGTGTCAAGTCTAGTATACAAGTCTATAATAAGTGATCATATATAGTATAACTGGAGGTGCAGCACCACAGGGTCTGATTGGGTATCACGTTAGAGGCAGACTGATCAAGAGTCATAAATATCAAACATGACTGATATTTACGAATTGGGATCATGGAGGCTCTGATGCGATCGGGAGCAGTAGATTAATCGTAATGACACCACAAAATTGAGGATCTTTTGGAGAAAATGTTGGTTGCGACAAGCCTCAAATCAGGCGACACCCCCATTATCCTCGAGGGGTTCAAATCAGGCTCAAAATGGGGCTTAAAATCTTCAAGTGTCTGACCAGCCTAAGAGGCTGGATCCAATCTGGAGATAGTGTTGGGACAGAGATGTCTAGTTACGTTGGGATGGACATCAAAGGATTGGTATCCCGAGGTAGAATCAGAAAAGCATATGGAGAATAATAAGTGTAGCTGCTATTCATTACATTTCAAAAATAAAATAATAATGTGAATTTGATCCGACATAACTATAGTACATGGTTATGAGATGAATTATGTGAATGCTTGGCTAAAGAGATGTGTCTTTAATCTAGATTTAAACAGAGAGAGGGTGTCTGAACCCCGGACATTATCAGGAAGCCTATTCCAAAATCCATGAGCCAAATGCCAAAACCTCTATCTCCTTTAGTGGATTTTGCTATCCTAGGAATTACCGAAGGTACAGAATTTTGTGACCTTAAGGGGTGTGATAAATAGTTCAGTTAAACCAGTAAAACCAGACCTTTTGTGACTGTCTATTGAATTGCTATTGAACAGTTTCTGAGATGTTTTTATTCTCCAGACAAACAGGTTGCAGAGTCTGATGCTTACAATTGTGAACACTCCCCTGCTGACACCAGCACTCTGGACACAAACCGCAGCTCTCACCAGCAGTGACAAGAGAATTCTCAGAATCCATTAGCACGTGCTAGAAAACACTTTTCAGATCACTTTCATCCTAGAACAAGTGTCCAATATTGAGTCTGACTGAAAGTTAGTTAACCCTCAGAGGTCTTGGTTCTAATAGGGGATAAAATGTCTTTATAGATGTGTCACATATTAGATACCAAAAAAGTGTATGACTGCAATGGCCAATCAGATAGAATTTTAATGTAAATTTAATAAATGTTTCTTTCAAATGTATTTATTTCACAATACATTGTTTCACAGCAGCTTTAAAGCAGGAAATCATATTATGTCTATAATGCAATAATGCTTTAAGAAATCATTAACATTTTTAATATTCTGCAAGGGGTTTGTAAATTATGAGCAGAATTAAGAGCAATCGACAATAATCACAATTACGATGCCAAGGGCAATTATCTACAATTACGATTATTTCATAATCACGCAGCCTTAAGACCGGGCGAGCGACGGTCAGGCTAGTTTGTTTGGTTTGTTCCACTCGTCAGCTCTCGTCAGGCTCATGTCGGCGGCAGTTTGGCGCGAATGAGAGCTCTTATTGGATGTTCAGTTTAGCGAACGAGTCAGTGCCAGAGAATTAAAGCGAAAGTGATGAAGCAAGCATGTAAATGAAGACGGTACAGACAGGAGGCTGTTTAAATGTTACGTGATCTTTCCCAATCATTCCAATATGCGAATGTTTTCATAACAACGTGAGCTGCTTAAAATTATTAAAGTTATCAATGTTACTGATATTCAAAATAGTAAGCAAGTGCTGCTTTGTTTACATTTCGTATATCTGCGTTTATCTCGTATATCTTTGTTTCGGTTTCTCCTTTGAATGACGAATATATACTATTGATAGCTGCTGATATAGACAGATAATTCCTCTCAGGTATGCGCAGAACGCACGTGTTAGTTTGCCGTCGCCTGTAGTCTGTGCGGTGTGTTCGAGCGCAGCTTATTGGTCCGACACTGCCGACGTGAGGCGACAACACCGTCGGCTTTCATCGCCGCTAGTTCTTTAAAGTCGGCTTGATGTGTCCCGACCTTTAATGCAAATGCGATCAACATTTTTTAACATGAACAAAAGAGTGATCGAGATGTTCAGATCTTGACTCTCCAGCAGTCATAGAAACACATGACCCTGTTCTGAGACACACATTAATACATCAATACCTGCTTCACAATCACAGGACTCCATACAGATTAGATTTTTATCATGTCAAATAAAAAGCTACAGTCTCTGTGACTAACATGGTGAATGTTTTCCATACAGTGCATATAGTGACACCTAACAGGACATGCATTTAGATTTTTACATGTCCTTATACTATATGTCTTTTTGCACATTTGATATTTCAAAATGATTCTTCAAATATTTAGTCTTTTTAGTCCATGTAAATTGGATAACAAAAAAAAAATTCTTAAACCTTCAAGATGACCACAAACTGATATTTTTCAAGTCTTACTGTTCTCTAGACCAGTTGTTCTCAATTCCAGTCCTCGCGACCCCCTCCCCCCATGTCTCTCTTATTTAACACACCTGATTCATGTAACCAGCTCGTTAGAAGAGAGCTCCATGGATGAAATGTTCCGGTTGAGAGGGTCACTACACAGTGTTCATTGCTCCTTACTCCCTGAGAATGGGAAAACGGTTGAAGTTTACTTCACTTCAGAACATTCATTCATGGATTTGCGCTACCCCATTGCCTGCAGCGTCTTCACACACATACAAAACTTAGTATAGAAGTGTAACAAAATATACCTGTGTCGCACACTTTAATACCCTTTGAATGGAACATATATGCTACCTTCGAACTGGAATCATATCATGTGATGTCCACTTCGCAGGGCATTCATGGTCAAATAGAACAAACATCGGAAGTGATAAGAGAAATATACAAAATGTGCAGAGCGGGGGTTAGCGAGGACTGGAATTGAGAACCACTGCTCTAAAACTGCCGTCTCTGTGACAGAGAATACAAGCTTCTAGGATTCTCTGGTGGGATTTGGCATCCACACAATGACACCTCAGAAACGCTTAACAGAGCAAGCAGTCTCCTGAAACTTAACCCTCAAATCCTCTTAAAGACCCT